TTTAAACAGCTTTTTGGATTTTTGAAGAGGAAAACAACTCAGGAGAGGATGGAGCTGACATGGGCAGGAGTTCTGCTTCTTCTCTGTATACTTTTCACCCTTTTCTCATCTTTCCAAATGTACAAGAAAAAAGGGCAGCTGCCCCCTGGACCTACTCCATGGCCTATTCTGGGGAACCTCTTTCAGCAAGATGTACTACCTCTAAATAAATCCTACAAAAAGGTAACTATTGTACTTCTTTGCTTTTTCAGGTGATTATTTTGAAAGATATATGCACATTTCCCTAGTTTAAGGAGTTTGATTTTCTTCTATAAGAGTCCAATTTTATTAGGGGTTCTTGTGCATCTTCAGTAGGAATTTTAATTTAAAGTCACCTAATTACAGTCTGATAAACACATAATGGAGGTTACAAAGTTCATTAAAATATGTGGTTACAAGAAAAACTTGCTATCATATATTTTGCAGTACCAGATTACTTGCAGAAATGTATTATACAGTCAAACTTGTGATTATCTCATTCCCATCATCTCACCAGCTAGGAGATACGTGCAATTTATCCAATCATATTGATGTACCCTGTCGATATTAAGAATTATTATAGCTTAGATTCAACATGATCTCTCTGTGATGAATTTAAGAACTATTTCAAGCATGCTTTAGAATAATTTCACCAAAAAATGCTTTATCGTTTAATTCCCAGTTAGAGTTTTCATCTAATTTTACCTTTAGCTTACAGAGAAGTATGGACCTATATTTACTATCTGGTTTGGATCAAAACCAATGGTTGCTCTTTGTGGATATGAGGTGGTAAAAGATGCTTTGATAAATCAAGCAGAAGAATTTGGTGGGCGAACTCAAACGCCCTTTCACAGAAGAGTGTTCAAAAATAAAGGTTGATTCTCTTTTATTTCCTTATTTGTTGTTGCTCTTTTTAATTTTCTATAAGTAATTTTAAATTATTTTAATGCTCTTAATATTATTGATAGTTATGAAAGTTTCACTTGAAATGAAGTTTCGTAAAGAGGTTGATCTGTTCATGCTTTTTGAAGAGGGAGGAACACCCTTTTTTCACCATTTTGCTTCCACTGATCACTTCTGAAATCTGTTCTGGTTGTTCCTTACATGCAAAAAAAAAAAAGTAATCACACCTCTAAACTGGTCCTTTGGGAAGGCAGACAAAATGCTTTTCAAAGAGGACACTTTGGCAATTTGGATTTTGAATAAACAGGAGAGAAAGAATATTGAAAGAATATGGTTTTGATGTTGGACAAGATCTCTGAGAACATTGTGGACATCCAAGAATAAGAAACAAATAGCTCATTGAACAAATCAGCTCAGAGTTTCCACTCAAAGCATAAATGACCAGACTGAAATTATCATTCTTCGGACATATGGTTCAAAAGTCTAGCTCTCTAGAGGAGGCTACAATGGTGAGAAAGATAAAAGGAAGAGGATGGCCATCTGCAACGTCAATGAACTCAGTTAAAATGATGACAAATGTACCCTTACAACTCCTGAAGAATTAGGTTAGGGATAGATTGTGTTGGAGGAAATCTAAAGGTAGCTAAGAGTTGAGAGTAACTTGTTAGCACACAATCAAGCAAGCTAGTACATAAGTAATTGGAAGTGACTTATTTTTGTCAATAAAGCCTCTACAGCAAATAATAATAATAAAATAAAATCCACAACTCAAAACGACTCCAATTTTCTTCTGCTTACTGAAAACGGCATCTCAGTGTAGAGTTCCATGTCTAATGTAGGGATTTCTTTCTATCTATAACACACCTACAGAAACTTATGACATGGTTTTCATAGCCTCATTCATTCTTCTCTTAATATGACAGCAGTCAAAAATGGAAAGATGGCAACTGTGAAGTTTGCTTCATTGGTATTTCAAACACCAAGCCTTGTTTACTTTAAATGTGAGGAAGGAAAATTCTCTGATGCATAATTTATTGCAGTGCGGTAGCCTCTTTCAACTATGATTGAAAGAAAGATTTGAAAAAGGAAAGTGTCTGAAATATTGTATCTAAACATGCTCTTCCACAAAAGCTGACAATTGACTAACATCATGATGCTTTTGGTGTCTTTTGTTGCAGGATTAGTTTCAGATGATGAGAAGAAATGGAGGGAGATGCGACGGTTCACACTGTCCACCTTGCGAGATTTTGGGATGGGGAAGAAAAGAATGTCTGAGAGGGTGCAGGAGGAAGCCCTTTGTCTGGTGGAGGAAATGGCTGCCACAAAAGGTCCTCTAAAGAAACTGAGAGCTGTTCTCCCACACAAGAATCATATCAGGAAGACTATTATCTTTTAAAATATGAAACTGGAAAGGGTTTGTTGTATTATGTGAAGTTA